GGGGGCAGGAAAAACTACAATCGTCTTGGATGGAAGGTTTCCATCGCCTGAGGACGGGGTTTGTTGGGGACGGGAGGGGGTGGGGGGTTAAGGGATGGGGGAGCATTTTGTTCTGATGTCTGATTACAATTTTAGTTTTATGTATTTCTGTAAGGGTTGCGTAACTGTCAGTCAGATGTTAGGTTCCGCCCCCCAGTTCGAAGACTGACAGGTCCTAGGAGTATAAAAGAGGCGAGTGTGTTGGGTGATGGACCAGGCGAAGAACTTGTTCTGATCTCCTCGAGAGCTACACGTGCTGGGTAAGTAAGTGTGTCTGTGTGCATTGTATGTTCTTACAGAAGTGTATGTGGATGCCTACTGCTGACAGAAGACGCAGTTAAAGTGAAAAGTATTACTCGCAAACTGACTCCACTTTCTTTCTGTCTTTTTTTTCATTCATCCTTCCTTTTTCTTTCTTCCTGTCTTCCTTTCTTTCCTTCCTTTTTTATTGATTCCTTGCTTGGCTGCTTGTTTTCTTGCCTTCTTGCTTCTTGCTCTCTTGTTTTCTTTCTTCCTGCTTTTCTAAGCGTTGTCCGTTCACTGCAGGATGCAGCCCTCTAACAACGACCTCCACTCTGTTCTATCAGCTGTTCTCAACGTCTAGGTTGTCCCATCCACTCTCTGATTTCATCTTGTCACATTCTTTCTGGTCTTCCTCTTGAGCGTTTTCCAAATCTCGGTCTCCATTCAGTGCATCTCTACTTTCAGGCTCTTTAAATTTTAACCTCGAATTCAGAACGAATAAACTTGTCAAATTAATTTCATTATCGTACCTTTGTGCAGACGGCTCAGTGTAGACGTCATCATAGAGATAAAGTCTATAAAGGAAAAAATATTATTAATTCAATATGGATAAATGTGAAAAGCAAAGGTGCATTGTAATTTCTTTAAGGGGGGGGGGGGGTATCCAAACCCAAATTCAAAAAGCAAACAAGCAAACAAACAAACAAAAAGCCTGTCAGAAAAAAGGACATCGCTGGGCTTTCTTGTAGCATTCTTTTTGCTTTATTATTAGCATTTTGCACCTATCTTGTTACCGTATTTTGTCCAGGATGCTGCGTGCACTCTGGTGGCTCTTTGTTAGTTAGTTAATTGGTTGAGGAGGGCAAGGGGGTGGGGGTTGGGGGTGTTTTCTATCCCCCGCCACCTCCTTTCCACAATCTCGAAAAGTAAAAACGTTTGTGGGCAATCGGATTTTATCAAAGCCTGGTCCGAACAGAAAGTACAAGTCTATCGTCGGCAAGCTGTTCAAATGTACTGGGCCGAGAAAGCAAATTGTTAAAGAAGAGAAAACAATTAGTTTCATTCTTTTAATCTAAGTTATGCGCTCTTCTTGTTTGTTTGTTTTGGGGGGGGGGGGGTTTGTTTGATGTTGTTGTTATTTTTGCGTGTGGTTTTTTAAAAAAAATTTTTATGACTTAATTTTGAATTTCGACAAAATATTCTTAGAACACATGCAGCCGATAGTCTCGATCATGAAACTACAATAAACTGTTAGGGGGGGGGGGGTTGGTTTGTTTGTTTTTGCTTTTTGCTGGGGTTGGGTTTTTTTAGTCAAAATATTGGGCATTGTAAAATTTGACATCTGAGCGACACTATGCGTCTTCTTTCTTCCCTCGCAGACTTGCTAGTAGGGAGACTACAACACACAACATGCTGACCAAAATCGTCATCGCTTGCCTGTGTCTGGGCGCTGCCCTCGCCGACGATCCTCCGGCACCACAGTACGGTGAACCCGGTGAGTGAAACATCAACTGCACCTTCCAACTCACGATAAAAAGAAGCGTTACGACGCGGTGGAATCTGGTGTTTGTCAAATTTTAGGCATATGGAGTTATTGGTAGACCTATTGTCTTAGAGCCTGTTCATTTGCCTTCATTTTGATTTTCAAAATACCCATCGATTTTTAATAGAAGTCCAGATTTATGCGTTTGAAGGAGGAGGGGGTCGCTGGTTTCACAGGTAAACTTAGCTTTAAAATCTATTTTTTTTAATGACCGCCAAAAATTGGTGACTTACTCGTACAAAGCTTGAGTATCCTTGGAAACCGCAAATGTACATGTTTTTTAATGCCTTTGATAAAAGATGTTCAGTAAAAATGCACACAGAAATCAGTTTTTAAATTGTCCTGAGCAACAACAAAAAAGAAAAAGAAAATGAATTGCTAAAGCGGCGGGAAAATGGCTACTTTTTTATTTTATTATTTTGACGAGCGCCTTATTTCATCATGATGCCTTGTATTTATTATATATAACAATATGTACTTTTACAATCTATCTTCCTCTTCTTCTCCCTCAGCCCCCAGCTACGGACAGCCCGGCTATGGCGGCCACGGTGGCTACGGCGGCTCCCAGCAGCTGGTCTTTGAGATCAGAAACCTGATCCAGAACATCACAGGTCAGTGTGGGCGGTTGGTGGGTTGCAGGAGCTCTGCTATGGTTTGCTCCTCCTTTCCTGTCAAACATCAGCTGTCCTCCCTATCTCCCTTCTATTTTTTTTCTCTGTATGTTACTCGCTAGCAACATTTCTAATCGTCGGCACTTAGGTGACCTATTTGTAATGCAAGTGCCGTAAAACTATGACTTAGACTAAGATTGAAACAGGTCAGTCGGGCTCCTTTCCATAACTTTCCCTATCAAACCCTCCATCCCCCTCTCCTTCTCCTTCGTTCCTTCCTTCCTCCCTTCCTTACTTCTAGTCCTGAGTGATAAATATATAACTTTCCATATCAAACCGTCCATCCCCCTTTCCTTCCCTCCTTCCTTCCTTCCTTCCTTCCTTCTAGTCCTGAGTGATAAATACATAACTTTCCATGTCAAACCCTCCATCCCCCTTTCCTTCCCTCCTTCCTTCCTTCCTTCCTTCTAGTCCTGAGTGATAAATACATAACTTTCCATGTCAAACCCTCCATCCCCTTTTCCTTCCCTCCTTCCTTCCTTCCTTCCTTCTAGTCTTGAGTGATAAATACACAACTTTCTATATCAAACCCTCCATCCCCCCTTCTTTCCTTCCTCCATTCCTTCCTTCCATCCTTTCTTCCTTCCTTCATCCCTTCCTTCCTTCCTTCCTACCTACTAGTCCTGAGTGATAAATTTCTAAATTTCTACAACAAACCCTCCATCCTCCTCTCCCTCCCTCCCTCCCCTCCCTCCAGTCCTGAGTGATAACGATGAGGTGATCGATGGACGTCTGGAGGATCTGTTCGATGCCAACGAGCTCAACTCCATCCTGAGGGAGACTTTCCTCAACGAGCTTTTCCCCAACCTCAACAAGGACCTGGATGCCCAGGACGCCAGCATCACCGCTTTGGAGCAGAAGGTGAGAAGACGAGGACTAAAATAAATTTCGTTTCGTAATTACAAGTGTAGGAGATTTTTCTATAGCTCGAGATAAGCAGAAGGTGAGAAGACGAAGACAAAAATTTCGTTTCGTAGAATTACAGGTGTAGGAGACTTTTCTATAGTGCGAGATACATTTTCCAAGCTAATGATCCAGGTTTTTCTATAACTCGAGATACGTTTTCGAAGTTAGTGATCCAGGTTTTTCTATAACTCGAGATACGTTTTCGAAGTTAGTGATCCAGGTTTTTCTATAACTCGAGATACGTTTTCGAAGTTAGTGATCCAGGTTTTTCTATAACTCGAGATAAGCGGAAGGTGAGACAACGAGGACAAAAATTTCGTTTCGTAATTACAAGTGCAGGAGATTTTTTTATAGCTCGAGATAAGTATTTCAAATTGGTAGTCCAAGTTTTTCTGTAACTCGAGATAAGCAGAGTAGGAGAAGACTAGGGCATATCTTTCGTTTCGTAATACCAAGTGCTCGCTCGAGATATTAAGCATTCTAAGTTAAGGATCCAGGTTTTTCTTTAGCTTGAGATAAGTATTCCAAGTTTAGGATTCAGGTTTTTATATAGTTCGAAATTAGCATTCTGAGTTGAGAAAACTATGACAAAACATTTGTTTCATAACACCAGTTCACCAAATGCACACTCGGGATAATAAGTATTCCAAGTTGAGATCGGGGGGTGGGGGGTGGGGGGGGTTCTATATCTCGAGAAAAGCATTCCAAGCTGAGAATCCAAGTTTTTTTACTGCTCGAGATAAGCAGAAGGTGAGCTATGACAAAACTTTCGTTTCGTAAAACCAAGTGCACGCCTCCAAACGAATTCATTTGACTGAGTCGTGGCAAAACAAAACAAAAAAGATTTGAGAAGACCATGACAAGACTTTCGTTTCGGAAGACTATCCGAGATTTTCTATAGCTCAAGATCAGCATTCCAAGTTTAGGATCCATGTTTTTTCTATAGCTGGAGATAAGCATTCTAGATTGAGAAAACCATAACAACATTCTCGTTTCGAAAGGCACTCCAAGTTTTCGCAAAGCTCGAGATAAACGTTCTGAGTTGAGAAAACCACGACAACACGTTCACGTTAGAGCAACTGGAATGATGACCCCCCAAAAAAATTTTTTTTAATCAACTTATCCTTGATTCGTTCTCTTTTCCTGTAACCTGTATTACCTGTCCTGGGCAACAACGTCATTGCACACTGGACAGGTCCATAAGTGCTCAGTTCCCCCAGCACCAAAGCCCGCAAGGTATCCATACTGATTGTTCCTCTTTTCCCATGAGTTTATCATTAATTGTTTGTTGGGCGTGGGGGTTTTTTCTCAGGCAAAGGCCCTGCTCAGACTGAGTGATGACGTAGCAGTCCTGGCCAGCACCATCGGTCAACTGGAGAACCAGGTCGCTGACGTGAATGCCTCCACCCAGGGTCAGTTCAACCGCCTCTCCGACCTGGCCAACTATGACGCCATCCAGGACACCAAGCTTGGAGCCGTCGACACCGATGTAAGTCTGTCTGTTTGTCTGTATGTATGTCTGGCTGGCTGGTGGCTGGCTGGCTGGCTGTCTGTCTGGCTGGCTGTAAGTCTGTCTGTTTGTCTGTCTGTCTGTCTGTCTGTCTGTTTGTCTATCTGTCTTTTTCTCTTTTCTCTCTTTCTCTTTCTTTCGCTATCTCTCTCTTCCTCTCTTTGATCTCCCTCTTTCCCTCCCCCCTCCCCCCCTCTCTCTCTCTCTCTCTTTCTCTCTCTCTCTCTCTCTCTCTCTCTCTCTCTCATTCTCTCTCTCAAGAACACTTGCGCTTCCCAGGAAGTTGAGATTGTTTCAAAAAGTTATCAGGTCCGCTGAGGCAATAACATACATAAGCTATAAAACCCATAGAGCTTGCTGTTGAGCGGGAATTTCCGCTATGCAAATACTATCTATTATTATCTATTATTACAAAAGTATTTATTTCTCTCTATTCTCCCTCCCT